GAACGATTTCTTTAGGCTGTTGATGCTTATTTCTATCACGATCTCGACTGTTTTGTTGCGTAGGTCTTGTGGTTTGGCTTTGGTGTTTTGAATGTCTTAACTTCTTCATACGGTATTAGATTATAACGATCTTTATATTTAGGTGTTCGTTTTTTTGAGTCTAGTATAACTTTCGTTAAGATTACTCTCGTTAAAATGTAATATATTTTTATTTACGATTTTATAAGAAAAACATCCATATATGTATTCATAAAACTTATGTATATAAACATCGAAAGTAAAAATATATTATTTTTTAACATAAGTAATCTAAACGAAAGTTGTAGTAGACTAAAATACGAACGCATCAATATTCTAAGATCGTATGCACAAGTTATGTCGTTCAGAACAAATGATCTAAGCAACCAAGTAGTCGAGATCGTGATGGACATGAATATAAAAACAAAAATGTCTTGTTTTGCAACAAAAAAAAATATTAAGAACTAAATGTATACAAAAATATTGATGACTAAATGTATACAAACTAAGAAATAAATTACATTATTAAATCATTTTTACTGGCTAACATTGAAATAATCGATCATAAGAACTGAATGTATACAGTTTAATAAGTTGAAAGGGTAAATATGAAAAAAAAAAACTCGATGACAAAATATATATAAATCAAATAATATATTACCATTTTAATTCATTATCCAATTATAAAATAAAGGATCTCTATACAATTAAGGTAATAATACTAGTCGCTTATGGTTATTCTTGGTTGACCAAAATTGATCCAAATTTATCAGTACATTTGTGATATGTTATTTATTATAAAATCGATTTTCTAATAAATGTTTTTTTAATGCTATTATTTTTAATGTTTGATATCATTGAACCAAAAATAAAAAAAAATAAAATAAAAAATGGTCTCGTCAAACACATTTGATATCATAGAACCGAAATAAAAAAAATGGTCTCATCAAACAAAGAATGTTATAGTATAATAACTAGGTGTAAAACAATATTATATGTGTTAATTAAAAAAATATCAAAATTTAAACATTAAGTATTTTTTAAAATTAAATTTTAAAATAAGAAAGAAAAAAAACATATTTATTGCAATTTATAATCATATTTATTATATTTAATACTTTACTTATATAACTGTATGTATTATATAATTTTTTAATTTTAAAAATTAAAAACACTTAAAAATTGATATGTGCATATTATTTATTTTAAAAATACCACAAAATGACAAGTGTTACCATTTATGAGACGTTGACAAATAACAAAATAGATTTTCATTTATTAGAGTAGATTTTCACGGTAACCACGATGATAAGAAGAGAAACCAATAAAAACACAACGATAGTTACTTAAGGGTAGTTAAATAAGGAGTGTTGATATGGAGGTAACAAATGAACTCAAAGGCACGTAAGTGAGAGTAGGACAGATTTTTGAAAGAAAAGTTTGTGCTAGGAAGTATCATGTTGGATGGTTGGCAAAGATATAATACTAAGATAGAAGGGGTGGTGTCAAGTGTGCTAGAGTCCTTATTTAGGATTTGTCACACTCCTTTATATTTTTATCATTTATAGGATATAGGTTGTCACGTTTGTTATATTAATTTACTTTAAAATTAATTAATATTAAAAATTTAAATCTCAAACAAGTTATTTTTATAAAACCTAAACTTTCATTAACATAGAAAATAAAATTACAAAAGAAACATATAATTTAAAATTACAAATTATTTTAGTAAAAAGTTAAATTTCAACTTCAAAGGAAATTACACATTTGAAATTAAAAAACATAACACACAACCCCATTAAAATTAAAACACACAACCCACTAGAAACTAAAAGACAACGAATTTAAAATGGACGCCCTTTGGCGCACCGCCTCACAATTTGCCAAAACTGCATGCCAAAAAGGTTTGTTAGTTTCTTCATGGAAAGCCTCGAGAGATTCACAAACAAAAAGTTTTCATTTTCACCTTGCTCGACTTCACTCATCACCCTATGAAACACATTGTTAACCTGAATTGAGACCGTACTTATATATCTCCATTTGGGGAAGATTTGATCTTTACTTCGAGGTAGAGTGACTTTGCGGTTGAAACTCTCAGAGTCTCTACTCCAGAAAGTAGTCGTAGTAATGTTAATATTGATCGAGGATTCAGTTACATCAACATGTGAAAGGGTTAATATCATCGTTTCATTAGTTGCCCAAGCCCAACACAAGCTATTTTTTAGCAATGGGATTTTGAATAAGATGGAATATAAAAAAAGTTAGAAGAATTGAGTTAAAATGATTTGAATGTGATGAAGAATGAAGGTTGTATTTATAGTAGAGTAGTGATGGTTTAAAATTTGAAATTTTGAAAAGAAAAAAAAAATGTTTTTTGAGAGAATGTAATTTTTTTTAAATGAAAAAAGGGTTTAAATGGTAAAAAAAAAAAAAAAAAAAAAAAAAAAAAAAAAAAAAAAAAAAAACTAAGCGATAAATGTGTTAATCATTTCTTTTTCATCGGTAAGCGATTACATAATTCCGTCGCCGAGCTTTCGTCCACAAGGTCGTTACGCTATGTGCGTGGAAGCCACCTCAAATTCGCTGAGTTTCTTACCGAAGCACTCCGTCAAGCCTTTAGAAATAAGGAAACCTTGTAAGCTTGAATTAACCTAACAATTAATGATATGAAGCATTATTTCCTTATATTTTCTTGGGATGTGGGGACACAAAAAGTGGATACTAATCCATTGGATAACATACATTATGAAATTAGTGATAGTTTAATTCTTCACCGTTGTCACATTGTAGCATATGAATTTCATGATGAAAATGGTTTTAACATAAGCACGAAAGTGAGGTAATTCGGGAAAAAATATCAGTTTTAATGTAATTAAATATAGATTGTGAGAAAAATATTTAAACACAAACACAAAAAATAAAGTTTTAAAATGAATTATGAAAAAACATATATAATAAATAAAAAAATAAACTTATAAAAATAGATTGTAAAAAACATCTAAAAACTAAGTAAAAAAAATTATATATATATATATATATACACACTTTAGATTTAGCACAGCTGGTCTTCTTAACATGTTTATCGCGTATGATGAGCCCAAGCCCAATAAGACTTTCATTAAAAGAATCTCCTATTTGCTACATAATGGAATAGTAAAAATCTGTTTAAAATTGGGGCATTCTTGAATATTCTATTAACGGAATTGTAAATATTTATTTATTAGAAGAAGATAACGACATATTTGTACTTGCACTAGAGGCCTCTACTTTTGCAGTGATAGGACGACATTACACCATATGACTCTACGTCGGATATGCGATATCAGCCACTAGTATTGATTCATGCTTGACAAGATCTAAGAGTTTTCATAGGTTAAGTAGATGTCGGTAGAAAATATCTACTAATACTTAAATAGAAAAAAAAAAAAAATCACAAATGTTATGGGAAAACCAATAATCAGAAAAAACATGAATGTTGCTAAATTGATAAAAGAAAAAAGGGCGTGTTAAACAAATTCCGTACATAGTTTACTTGTATGTTCAAAATTTCTTCAATGAAAAATAGATACATTTTGCATGTAATATCTCATTAGGTAAACAAACAAGCAAACATGCTTTTGATAATTTTTCATTAGGTAAAAACACAAAAATAACCACTTTGCCTTGAGCATTAAACAAAAAGACCAACCCTCATCTTTTAATCAAAATGAACTCTAAATTTTGCTATTGTGAAACATGATCACATTGCAAAATCGGCCTCTTTAAATAATTTTTTTTTAATTTTTAAAAAAATATTCAAAATCTGTCACTACTAGGTTTTTTTTTTATAGGGAAATGTTTTTTTAAAGATCCCTGTAACAAAAAAATTATAATCCGCATTAACATGAACAGTTTTGTGTAAACGAAAAAATAAATCCATGAAAACTAAAATATTATATATATTTTTAATTTTTTATTAATTTAGACTTATATAAGGACCATAAAAAGCAATTCTCGTAGCCAAAAAAAAGTGATATTCGCGTCTAGAAAATATATAACCATTAATATAAAAAAATCATAAGTATAATATTTTAACCATTTAAAAAAGCTTCATATTTTAATTATTTTTATAATTATCACATTTTATAATTAATATAAATAAACTAATTAGTTTATGTTATCACTATAACGTTAATATTACTTTCATGTTTTGGCTACTTTTATTTGTCAAATACATTTGAAATTTCATGCCAAAATCATGCAATTAAAAGATGGAAAATAAAATAGAACTGTGTAAACTTAAAGGGCCTAAAAGGTAAATTAAGGCACGGATTAATGTAACCTGACTAATCCTCCATACAGGTGCCGGCCATTCTCCTCCTTAATCCCCACAGAAATATTCTCTTGTAAGATTATGTTCTTCATGTTCTTGTTTTTGTTATTTTTGTTCTTTTTTTTTTCTTGAAAATTTTAATTAACCATGTTTGTTAGTTATTTGCTTGTTTATTCAACTGTTTGTGGTGTTTATAACTGCTGTCTGTAATCGATTATCCAAAATCCTTCTTTCTACGAAGAGTATGAGTTAGATTTTACAGTTTCTACTTGTTAAATATGAGTAAATTTGCACTATCATATAGTGTTCTTGCTTTCTTATATCTGTGGTTAGTTATTGAGACATGTATATGAAATTTCTAAATCGATATG